GGAAAACTCCCTGGTTCATATCATATTCATGATTATACCAGTAAGCCATTACATCCCATCATTATCCCCTTATTCCACCATTTTCTAACAAAAATACATGGATGAGATTCTCATTTGGCATCTATTGATTTTATCCCCAAGTGTATCACCATTATGTTCCAACTAAACATTACCCTCCAGTAAATTAATGTAGACATATGTAGACATGGCAGATAGGGGTTGGAAGATTACTTTCCACTACAAATGAGTCTATGTTCATTTACCAAAGGGTATTTAGATATATTACAAACATGAATATGATTTTTACTGTTATTGAATAACCATAAAGTAGTCATATTAATCATGAATAACAATAACATTGAGTCATATATGGGGCCTCAAATATATGTATATATATATATATGGTTGGTGGTTTGAACCCCTCCGAAAAATATTGGTCAATGGGAAGGATGACATCCCATATATTATGGAAAATAAACAATGTTTGAAACCACCAACCAATATATATAATGCTATATATATATATATATCCCTATTGAATCATGATGACTATCGCACCAACTCCCCATTGTTGGCCCAGTTCCAGGCCGTCCGCCCAGCGTCCCATTTTTGGTTTATACAAGGTGGTGCCCCAGTTCGGAATCGCGACAAGTTGGTGAACATAACTCTCATTTCACTCTGGTTTATGGTAGATATATGATATATTGACATACTTACTATGGTTTACCAACAAACATCACTGGAGGGGCAGCACCTTGTAGATACAACTCTATCACCATTAGTATTAGATGGTTGGGAAGCTCAATTTGTAGCTCCAACTGGCTCCCCATTGAATAGGGAATATGAATACCGCTAGCCCCTTAGCTCCTAACCACTGGACAGATTATATTTCCACATAAAACTCCCCATTATAATTCACCAATTAATATATCCTCACTAAAATGAAAAAATGGGGAATTTTATTTCCTTTTAAAATATCACCATGATATATCTATCTCTATAATATATATATATATAAATTATGATATATAGATATATATATATATATAATTATACATATATTCCCTACCAAAAAAAACGACAAACTCCCCACTGAAGCTGCCCAGATTTCACCAGGCCCAGATGCCCATTTCTTCCAGCCACCACCCGATGCCCTCCGGCTTCATCCGCCGCCGCAGAGGCCGACGCCGACGCCGGAGACGCCTGGCTGGGACTTGCCTTGGCCGCAGACGCCAGTTCCACCGTCCACCTCAGCTGTAGGGCCGTAACGCCCGGAACAAAAAAGAGCCGGGAAAATGGCGAAAAAATGTAGGAAAATCCGGGAAAATAACCAAAAACATGCAGAACAATGTGGGAAAATGTGGAAATACTAAGGTTGAAAAAGGTTGAATGATATTGTTCAACAAGGGATTCTATGAATGAGGATTATAAAATTATAAAGGGTTCAGCACGATGTATACTTGCTGGATTTTAACTTGATGGATTTTAAGGTTAAAGGATAACGATCTTATGGCTGGGAAATTCAATTTGTAGCTCCAACTGGCCCCCCAAATGCTAGGGAATATGGATACCACTAGCTGCTTAGCTCCCTCCCGACCACTGGGTAGTTCAACAAAGGATTATATGGATTATATACTCCGATCTTGGACAATTACACGTAACCTTAAATTACCATTACATTTTGAAGAATTGTTGGCAACACATGAGGGGCCCACCAAGCCTAACTTTTGTTCCAAATATTGAACTAGGGTCGAAGTTGGGATAGTTCCAATTGAACGTGATAGAATACCCTTTCATTAACGTGGTAAACCCAATCATAAACCATCCCATTAACAAACCAGGGATGCATAATCCCAAATAAGGGCATACCCAATAGTAAACCTCTATATATTCAGGATGATGTATCATTGGGTTAGCCACATTGTCCCATATCATCCCAATTTTTCAGCAATCCTTTTTCTGAATTTCCCATGAAAAATCTCCATGTTTTCGATGAATCTCCCATTATTTCCCCTTGAATCCTCCATTTATAGATGAAACTCCCATAAATAAGCAACTAATTGAATCTCCCATTCAGCGCTTTATTTATGTTTTTTTTCTTGGAAAATCTCGTGTTTGTTTCTTCTGGGGATGGTCGCCAGAAAGACCCGGTCCGTCTTTTGGATATCAAAAATGTAAGGGCGCAGAACAACAGGCGACGATATGCTGCTGGGATATGTTTTGAAATGACACTGAAAGAGTATGATTTAGGTCTATAGGTCTAGAATTTTTGATGGAGAAATCTGCAAGAAGCCAAAGATGATAGGTAAAACCACCATGGTTTCCTAAGCCGGTTTTCCCCTCGGCCATCTAAAGCCGATCAATCGAAAAACCCCGGCATCATTCGCCACTGGCAAGAAATCATAATCCACCATGATATTCCGATATCCCAATACCTATCGCAGGTATACACTGGTTGGTGGTTTCAACACCGCAGAAAAATATTAGTGATTTATAGTGATTTTATAGGGATTATGAATGGGGATTTATAGCTGGTTGGTGGTTTCAACCTACCCCTCTGAAAAATATGAAAGTCAGTTGGGATTTTGAAATTCCCAATATATGGAAACATACACCTCCGCAAACCGTTAAAAATGTGGACAATATCCACCATTTTTATGAAATCTTTTCTGAATGGGTTTCCGTCGCGCCCATACTTTGATGGACTAGTGTCTAAGTGGTTTCTTTTGCCACCACCTATATAGTTTACCATGGTTTACCAACTAGTACTCTATAGAGAGCATGTCAACTTGATAATGGTATCTATCAGTCAACTATAACTATATGTTAGGTACTATAGTACCTATAGGTTAGTACTCTATACCCCTGGGGCTGACTAGATAATGGCTTCTAACCTACTAACTTGTCACTCCCAGGGCCCCGGCCTCAGCTGAGCATTCTCTTGGAGAACTGAGCTGGCAAAGGCAGCCAGCTTCTGGATGGTGTTGGTGCACCACTCGGAGCGAACCAAGCTGCCTAGGTCTTGGGTTTCGGTTCAAAAAAGATGAGTCAAACTAATGATGGTCAAATCGCACATTTCTAGGGTGGAAAATCAAGGGGGAACATAACTCATCCGACATCATCCGACGCAATCGACTTTTTTTGGGGCTTTGTGGCTTTGATGTGGGTGAAAAGCAGATGGACCATTTCTGCCTGAGAAAAATCACCACTCCCCCCGTTGAGCCCTCAGACCACCCCTTGATTTTGAAGATGAACTCGAATATTTGGGACCAAAGGGATGAAGGGTGTGTTTAATATGAACGGGGGATACCTCTTACTCCATACTATCCCATATTTTCCAACTAAGGTCCCATAACTTGGGTTTATTTGCCATCACTTGGGATGGGATTCATAGAACAGCAATGGTTTACCCTCTGGTCAACATAAAAAAAATATGGAAAAACACGACTTTAATAGGTAAATTATAAATGTCACATTTTCCATAGCTTTTTGTATGTTTACTGGAGGGATCTGGAGGGGAATTAAGTAACATCACCGAGGTACCACTGGCAGCAGTGCTGGCGTCTTCCGGTGCTCCAATCTCTTCCTCTAAGCTTTGAGGCAGCTGCTTTAGACTGGAAGAGACTGCTTGGAACGCGCGCAGGTCCTTGGGACTCATTTGAACGCCATCCAGTAGCATTCAACAAACACTTTGCGAACTGGAAGCCATGGCCCATTGAAAAAGAGGATATAGCTATTAAACATGCTGATTTCCATACCTATGTTGGTTAATCGAAGGATAGTACATATCACCCAACGCAAAAAGGGAATAGGATCTCCAACAGGTACCTTTTCCAAGTGCTATTCTGTTATTCACACATTATCAAAAAGGAACATGTACCAAGCCCTTCCCATTAGATTCCCACTAGATGTCCAAAAGATTCCCCAAACTAAGACTATTTACTCAATATATACCCAGGTTCCCCAAGGTGGATTGTTATTCCCAGTAGCTTCCATTGGATTGTTCGACGCAAACAAAAAACGGGTTCATCTGAAAATAGACAACCCATAGAATCAAACATATTCAAATATGTTTAAATCATCATTTTCCGTCATCTTCCCTATCCAACAAAAGCATTTGGGAGGTGAGGTACCAGTTTCAGGTCCACCAAAT